GCGTGGGCTGCTGGCTTCAGAACTGTTTTTCTTTCTGATGGCCCTTGTTATTTCTGCATAAATATTTAACTACACATTCAAATGTCTTACTGCATTGCTAGAATTAACTATATATTGTAAGAAAAACAAGTATTTTTCAGAAGGCCTGAGGTGGGCTGGGGTCACTCTGTGTTCTCTTCCAGCAGCAGGGCCTCACTCTCCTCCCCCTCAGCAGTGGACCCTCTGGTTGTGGTCTTCTCTGTTGTAGCTTCTGCTGGGGCTTTGATGTCCCTGGGATAAGAATAACAATGGCAAGGTTTTAATTCTTGAAAGGAGCAATTAAGCTTCTCACCCCCTCCTCATTTTAGATGGGAACTGTGAGGGCCCATCATTTACCCAGTGTCCCTGTTGATCTCGTCCTCACTGGAAGACTCCTTGTCATGCAGCTTCCCTGTCATGTTTTTCACACGTGTGGCTCTGAGAGGCCTGTACATATCCTTAAGCCAGAGTGGCCATCTTAAGAAAAAGCCACCCTAGAAAACAGAAAGGGAAATATTAATTTTGCATGTCTTCTGCTTTTTCTGGCCACAGCAATGAATCCTGCTCCAATGTACCTGAGTCGCACTTTTCGATGAGTATGTCCTATGTGGCAGATATCTGGAAATGCCCCTGGGGAGACACAGGCACAAGACAGTGAGTGATGCTGCCGTTTCCCACGTCTCTCACATTGTCCTTCTCTGGTCTTAATTAGGACTAAATGAGTACCTCAGTCCAAAGTCACAGTGAGCAGAACCACTGCAAACCACATACCTGGCGTCTTGAAAATAATTCCATGCAGGTGGGACTTTCAGAAGCGCTCCCTGTCTGTCCAGAAGGGCCCCACAATATAGCTGGAGGGACTTTGTGTGTGGCTCAGCATGGAGCACGGGGAGGATGTTCAGTCCCACTCACCCCCTTGGCCAAGCGCCCTCGTGCAGCGAACAAACGGCACAACCATGCTAGGCAGGAGCATTTTACATCAGTCCCCTTGGGACTTATTCTCACGGGCATCATTTGATGGGGGGTGGAGGATGAGGTGGTTTTTTTTTTCTAGATGCTTTATTTGCTTTATTCTATAAGTTGAATCACCTCAAGCAAATGCCTGAGTGCAACTAGCCAAGTTGTCTGTCTCATAGATCTTCATACAGCAGGCTGTCGCTGGTGAGTGAGTGAGCTGTGACATCAGCTTAAAGGACAACATATTCTTTTGAATGTGAATAAAACAGAAAAAGCCAGAGTGCATTGTGTGACCATGGGGCAAGACACTCTCCCTTTCTCTTTCTCAGGTTCCCTATCATAAAGGACAAACTACTGTCTAAAGTGTCTCCTATTTCTTTCTTTCTTTCTTTTTTTGAGATCAGTTTCGCTCTTTTTGCCTAGCCTGGAGTGCAAATGGCGTGACCTTGGCTCACTGCAACCTCCACCTTCTGGGTTCAAGCGATTCTCCTGCCTCAGCCTCCCGGTAGCTGGGATTATAGGTGTGTGACACTGTGCCTGGCTAATTTTGTATTTTTATTAGAGACGGAGTTTCATCATGTTGGTGAGGTTAGTCTCCACCTCCCGACCTTAATTGATCCACCTGCCTCGGCCTCCCAAAGTGCTGGGATTACAGGTGTGAGCCACCTGGCTTGGCCTTCCTAGTTAAAATTCTGTGAGGTTTGTATAAAAGGAATAGAGTGGGAGCCCAAAAACCAGTAAGATGAAAAAGTAGTGTTTCCTCAGTTCTCGGATCCAGGGGAAAAAGAAAGGAAAA